ATTAATTTTTAAAAAAAACCATGGTAAACAGAGAGAGAGAGAGAGAGAGAGAGAGAGAGAGAGAGAGAGAGAGAGAGAAATATCAGCTGAAGTTGGGCATGATGGTGCTTGCCTGTGACCCCTATAAGGCTGAGGCAAGAAGACTGCAAGTTCTTAGCAATTTAGCAGATCCTATCTCAAAACTAAGTAAATAAATAAACAAACAAGAATCACTGGAGATAGAATTCAAGTTTCTAAAGCTCTGAGTTTAATCCCCAGTACCAAATAAATAAAAAATTTGTTAAATAAACTATGCTGGTCACTTCCTCCAGGGAGAGTCCACCAAGGGAGGGTCATCACAACTGGGAATCCCCTGGAGAAGGCCAGGGACTTCTCACCAGTTCCCAGCCAGAGCTGGGGGAGGAGTCGCCTCTCCGTGGCCCTTCCTGGAGGTTCTGAGGCTCCAGAATGGACCTTCAGGCTCTGGAAACCCCCAGTTCAAGCCTCATAAGCAGCTTCTTTTCCAGGAAGACCATAGCAGAAATCTGGGGGATCCCAGCCCTGACCAGCTGGTGTGGATGTCACACTTGACATTTCAATTCTGTTCCCCTTTTTCCTCCTTTGAGCAACTTCTGTGCCTTTGGTGCTATTCAAGGAAAAGGAGGGGGGAAAAATTAATGAGGTGACAAGACCCACACTTTAAGAAATCCAGGGCAGCAGCCCCTTGGCTTTTAGTTTTTATAAACTAACATATTATTTTTAAATATAAATATTTTTTAAAATGTTGCTTCTATTTTGTGAGATAAGAGCATGAGAAAATGATAATTACCACCTACCATCCTTCCACCTGGATAAAGTAAAGGCTGTTTTAATACTGAATAAAGTGAAGGCCTATGTGCTTTCCTAACAAGGGAACGCCTTAGCTGGATATGGTGGTGCGCGCCTGTAATTTCAGCACTCTGGGAAGCTGAGGCAGGAGAATTACAAAGTTAGAGATTTAGCCAGACTTGTCTCAAAAAAAAAAAGGATGTGGCCCTGTGCAAAGGTCCTAGGTTCAGTCCCCAATATCACTCACTCACTCAATCAATCAATCAATCACATCTCTTTTGCATTACAAATATTTAGTTTTATGAAAACCACAGCACTCGTGACTTGGCTTCGTCACCGTAGGATAGAGTGGTTCAAACTTGGGTCACATAGAGCCACTGAGAGGAAGGCCTCTGTACTAGTGCAAGCCACAGGACATCCACCCTACAGCTAGCCAGTCGGCCAGCTCCCTGTACAGGTGCCCCCATGTAGCCAGGTACCCCTTTAATGAGCAGGCAGGGTTTCACACACTCCTCCCCGGAGGAGTCCTAGACTCCACGGCCTGTGCCCACCAGGGAGGGAGGCCCACTGCTGTCACTCGGATGCTGTGCGAGGACCAGAGATGAGCAGGTACTCAGGTTCCCAGCATCAGCCTTTGTGTGGGATTTTCTCAGTAGATCCAGGGACCAGAGGCCTATGTCCCAGCCCCAGTCAGTTCTGTGAACTTGAACAAGTCACTTTTCTTCTCAGGGTGTCCAGGTGGGCCTCCAGGGCTCTGTGCCAGTGCTGCAGGGTTACCAAGCCCACCATGCTCAGCCTGGGCTCTAGGGGCCCCACAGGCCAGCTTGGGAGTAAGTCTAGGAGTATAGAACCTGGGGACTCGCAGGCAGGTTAGCATCATGGAGTTTGGAGGAATGAGAGAGCCTGGATAGTGTCAGGGGAGGAAACTACAGTCTGGTTCCAGCAACCTGTCCTAGGCTTCAGCAGCTTGGTCACCCACCTGGAACGAAACTGCCCCCCTGGTTGCCCAGCCCAGAGCCCTGTGGCGTGTGTGACTCACTTCGCAGGGGGCCATTGTGGCTAATGTTTAACACAGTCCCTCCTTCCACAGGGCACTTTAGCCCCAGCAGCACAGAGTGCAGGCCCTGTCTAAGCACCCCTGCTGCTAAGTGGGCTCCAAACACACAGCTGGTCCCAAGGGGGAAAGAGGGTTGCCATCTGGCCTCCTGAGGGCTCTAGGACAGGCATCCTCACCTGGTCGTTCCTAAAAAGGAAGAAGGAGCAGCAGGCTCATCTCCAATTGTGGGGGGAGGATACCATCCAGATGTTGTGTGTTGGTTCATGACAGTCATCCCCCAAAAGGCCACCATGCCTCTCCCTACAACTGGTGCCCAGCCTCGCCCTTGCCCATCAGGGTGTCACTGGCATCTCACTTGAGTGTTTCCCTTTTGGTGGGGATGTGAGGACTCTCCTGGTACAAATGCAAGGACCCTGACCCCAGCCGTGTCTCTCTGAAACAGTGACTTGTTGGACATTACTGAAGCAAGTATAACCCCAGAAAAGGGCCCCCATAGGGGAACCTGGGTTCCCGTCTGCAGTCTGCAGCTGTCAGACTCTGAACCTTAGAATGAGCTTCTTAAACCTTCCCAGGCTCCATTTGATCCCCTAGAAATGTGAGAGCTTTGTGTCTACTTCCTGGGGTTTGTGAGAACACAATGGTGCAATTCTGAAAAAGCACATAATATACTCATTTCTGTAATTATTGAAAAATGTCTAGTGTCAGGGAAATAGGGAATGAGTGAGTGAACTCTGACAGAGGTCCTAGGTTAAATCCCAGTCCCACCATCCGCCTTGTGGCTGTGCCTCAGTGTTCCCTGTCCTGCCCAGGGATGGTAACAGTGCTTTCGGCTGTTGTGAAGGTTAATTGTTGCAGTACCTAGAGCAGCACCTGGTGCCGAGCAACGTGCTGTGCGTGCGGACTCAGTCAGCGAGGGGACCCAGCCCCGGTCACCTGTGGCCAGGCAGGGTTGGGTGGGTGCTCGGTGGGCAGAGGGCCCAGGCTTGCCCAAACCGTGCCTCCACCCCAGGCCTTGTTCATGGCCGTAACTATAGAGCCCCTTGGGCACCATCCCACCCCAGGGAGCCCCTGCTGGAGCCTTCTTCCGCTTGCACACTGTGGGCCTTGGTCTTCTGTAGGAACCATTGGCACCTGGCTTACCCTCCACCTGACCTCAAGGGGATGGATGAGGTCTGGTCCCATCTGGATGCCAGAGGAACCTAATGACCTCCAGGAGCCCTCTACATGGGCCTCTGCCCTTTCCCAGAAGGCCACAGGCCTGGGCGTGTTGGGGGCCCCACCCCCTCCTCCCAGTAGCCCTCTACACTCCTGTGTTTGCTTTGAGTCAGGCCCAGGGCTGGTCTCCCGCCTCTATAGGGCAGGGTGGAGAGCCCAGTCTGCAGAGGCCCTAGGTTAATAGACCACTGGCAAACCGAGATTTGGCTCAGGAACTTGCAGCCAGGCTCTATCAAAGGGCTGGAAGAGGCAGAGCACAGGGACGTTTTGGAGCCCAGCCAGCTGGGAGGAGCCTTTGAGGCAGGCAGGGTGGGTTTCTGTGGCTGCCCAGGCACGACACCGCACCCATGCTCCGTGCCACAGACCAGCCCTGTCAGGTTCCCCAGCTGCATGTATGTGACTGGGTGTGTCAGTACCTGAGGGCTGGTGAATACGGCGAAAGATGTGCTCTTACGCACACATCTGCCTCTCTGCCCACTGACTGCTCATGGTAAGGGCCCTGTGCAAAGTGCCGTCTCCCTTCATGCATCCCACTTTGCTTGCCTCCACTGCCAGAATCCCTGGAAGGGGCTGGCTGGGTGCCAGACCTCACCCCAGGGGGTAGCCAGCACTGCACTTTGCACCAGTCAGGCATTTATGACAGACAATACACTAAGATCAGAGGGTACAGCAGGCATCAGCAAGAACAGGCAAAAGAAAGGGGAAGGTGCTATGTAGACAGCTCAGCCTCTCCTGGAGTCAGGGCTGAGGCAGTCAAAAAGCCAAAAGGCTGAAGGCCTGGAACCAGCCCCTTCCACATAAAGTCAACTCAGAAGTCCCCATGGCATCACCCTGAAAGGTCAAGCTCCACTCCAGCCCAGATCTTTGGTCTCTGCTCCTTAATAGCTTCTTTCCTTCTCCATGTGTGGGAAAGAAGGAGCCACCCAGCCCTCCATGCCACCCAGCAGGCCTGCATCCAGCTTTGGATTATTCAGATATCAGAGAAGTGAAGAAAGGACCTGACCCAGGAGACAGGAGTGGGCCTGGCTGCTCCACCTCAGAGCAGTCTTGGGGAATGGGATCAGGTGCAGGACTAAGGGGGGAGAGAACGGTGAGCAGAGTGGGTGAAGTGGAGAGATCAAGGGCCCTAAGGACCAGGGAGAGTGAGAGAGCAGCCACCTGGTGGCCAGGATTGAAATTGCATGGTGTTTCTCTGGGGTCCACCAGATGATCCAGGTGTTGGAGACAGGACAAGTGACTCCACAGAGCGGCCCTCTTGGTGGCTGGAGTCCCAAGTGGGACCAGCAGTGTCCTCAAATATCAGGGCTTCTGTGAGCATCCTGGGTGTAGTAAGTGTATGATGATGTCACCAGGGCAGAGTGGGAAGGGCCCACCCTGTGGGGACCACCATGGGACCTTACAGGTAGCCACCAAATCCTTATCCCACCATGCTGACCCCGCACTCCTGAGTGCACACCATGCCTGGCCTGGCCCAGCCCTCTTGACTCAAACTTGTCTTCCCTTTCTTCCAAGCACCCACCATCAAAGCTACAGAAACTACTAGGAAACCATGTTTTTAATGGAGAAGATATGATGTCTGTGGGTGTCACACGTCACAACAGCAGTGGGCTGCTCTCCCTGATTCCTCCTGAGCGCACTGCATCCCATGGTGGCCAAGGAGCCCTCGTTGCTTTGGGAGGCTGGAAGCCCCTTGGCTGGGTTGAGGTCCTCAGGTGTGCATCTGTCTTTCCCTTGAGTGTGATTCCTCCAGGTTCCAGAGGAGACCATGCAGGCTGGAGGGAAGAGGGTGCAGGGGTACACTCTGGACATGGGGCAGAGAGACAGGTGAGCAGGGTAGAGGAAGAAGTCTGGAGCGGGAACCCCATAGCAAGCTGTCCTGTAGGGACAAAGAAGCAGAAGCCACCAGTCCTGGTGGCGTGGGCCATTTAGCAGGGCCTCATTTCCTCACAACACCTGCGCTTCCTGGGGCTTCTCATCCTTAGCACCCCAGGGGAAGAATCACCATCCACAGGGGCTCCTGCTTAGCTCCCCAGCCTGGAACCCAAGTTCCTTCTCCCCTTTAGACCTCTCCTCAGTTCTTGCCTCGTCTTGCCATCATCCTCCATGGCCTGTTTGTTCCCATCTCTGTTTTTGTGACACCCTCAACCCCTCCAACAAACACTTGCCTGTCACTTGCTTAGAGAGCTCCCTGTCCCAAAAAACCTGCTCTGCTGCATGCTTTCTGCAGACCCTCCCCACTGCAAGGCTCCCAGCCCTCCCACAGGGGGTCTCAGGTGGCCTAGTTCTACCGCTGTGTTCAGTTTTTCCAGACACTTCTTCAGAGAACGAGAGGTTGTACTTTCTCTGGATAGCACCTCGGCAGGAGCACCCTGCGTGTTTTGCAGGGTACACAAGTAAAGGTCATCATCGGGGGGCATTTAGGAGAGATGGGACCTCGGGGACAATCTAACTCAGTGTTCTCACACTCTTGCATGCCTCAGTACCCCCGCAGGGCAGGCCTGGTCCCAGTTTTCAATGCAGTGATTCTGGGGGCAGCTTCATCATGCACCCAACAGGTGAAGTACATGCAGCTGATCCCAGGACCAAACTTGAGAACCACTGATCAGCTACAACCCCAGCTTTACAGATGAGAACAGAAAGGGCCCCAAGTAGAAAAGGTGCCCGGGGCCTCGTGGTGCAGGAGCAGGCAAAGCCGAGAGAGCTGAGTCACCAGTGTCCCTTCTCCTGCATGTATTAAGCACCCTTTGGCTTCATCCTGGAGTCACAAGTTACCCTTCAGACACTGAAGGCCCCCCAAGAAAAGGGTACCAGTTTCCAGGTACCTCTACTGTGAGGTTGGAGACTTGGCAGCATCGAACATCTTCTTCCGGCCTTCCATGCCAGACATGGCCTCCACATTCTTCCTCCAGTCTCCCACCTCCACGGGCCGCTCCTGAGGGTGAACCAGATATATCAGAGACTCACTGGGATGGAGGGGCAGCCAGGATATCCCAAGTTCAAGAGAAATTGGGCTGTTGGAATTCTGCCTGATCAGAACCACAGGAAATCCCGGCAACCCTGAAATCCCGGCAACCCTGCCCAGTGGTAAGTTTTGAGGACTCAGCCAGACAGGGGATGTAGGTGCAGCTGAAGGGCCATGGGAAGGAGGATTTTCTGGGTGATTATGGGAGGGTGGTGGGCCAGTTCCTACCCCAAGATGCCTCCCTGTCTCGTACCACCCCCTTTTCTGAGGTCCAGCAACCCCTGATCACCTCCTCCAAGAAGCCTTACCCAGTATTTTCATTTCCATTTCCTCTGCGGTTTTTTTTGTTTTGTTTTGGTTTTTTGTTTTGTTTTGTTTTGTTTTTTTTTTGGAGAACTGGGGATTGAACTCAGGTCCTCGCGCTTGCCAGAGAAGCGCTTATTCCACTGAGCCATCTCCCCGGCCCCATCCTCTGCATTTTTGCAGGCCCCATTCTTGTCTTTATGAAGCTTTCTGGGCCAGAAACTGTGTGTCTGTCACCTTTGTTCCTTCCAGGGAACATGACATCTTACAAGTTCCAATTCTGGGTACATAATACTGTGAGATCTGCCAACTTGGAGAGATTTGTGGCTGAGCAAGTGACTAAGTTCAGTTCTCTGATTTCTGTGCTCATGTATCTCTGCTCTGCAGGAGCAGCCCTCTCCTCCCCCATCACCCATGTGCTCTTTACGCTCAAAGCAGAGGCTTTACTTTATTCCCTGAGTAACCTTTTCCATGTGTCAGTCTGTCCCTCAGACTGAAAGCAGACTGAGGAAAGGAAGGGAGTCTTTCTCTGTCCCTGTTTTCCTAGGGTGTTCTAGAACATTCTGACTGATAGGCTCCTGGGCCTGCTTGAGGCTGTTTGAGGGGTGACAGGGAAGAGCTGCTGAGCAGGGGCCCTCACCTTCTCTGTGTCCTCCTTCTTCACAGACTTGAGGTTGGCCCGCAGGTCCATGGACACCTTATGCTTGGAGCCCAGCAGGGCCCGCAGCATGGCATCAGCTGAGACGCGGACCCGGCGCAGTGGTGGGCGCTTGAACTTCCCACGGAGATCTAACACCTTTAGTTTCAGGTCCTTAATCTGAAGGCAAGAAAGAGCCATGCTTGCTTGAGGGGCAGCAGGCCACAGGGTCCCTGCCACAGGACCTCAGACCACAGCGTTCCAGCCAGAGCCATACCCCAAGTTCTCCAACCTGGAAGCCAGACCCTCTGGGACACTTAGGATCATCTGTCCCTTTGCAAATAACCCCACATACATTGATGCATGAAGGGACACACAGAGTCCATGATCTAATCCCATGCCTGGGGCCCACCGTGCCAGTGCTCCTGGTCTGAGCCCTGTCTGGGTGTGGGCTGCCTCCTGTGGTTCCCATGGCCTCCATCCTGCTCCTTGCTGGTCCCTGCCCAGGGAGCCTTCCTTAGAGCCCCCAGGCTTAGCCCAGCATGGAGAAAACCTCCAGGCCCCAGGTCTCCCAAGGAATTCTCACATACGATGATCTTTGAAAGCTTAGCCCCCATAGATCATTGTCCTGCTGGGCAAAAAGGGGCCTGTGTCCCCCCAATACACCCATCTCTGCTTGGCAAACCGACCACAGCAGCCCAAGCCTGCCCTTCCCAATTGTCCCTGCCCACTGGAGCAGGCATCAGAGCGAGTGCAGGTGCCAGGATCCCCATGCTGTGACCCGGGCATCCTCATCAGTGAGGTGCAGATCCTAGCCCCGCCTCGCCTTACCCCCAGGCGTGCAAGGAGGATCAAAGGCTATGATGCACTTGAAAGCCCTTCACAAAGGTAAGATGTCATTAACAGGCATCTGATTACTTGTGTGGGTGAATAAAAGGCAGCTTCTGAAGAGGCCATGCGGCAGGTGGGGAGAAAGCCTGCGTTCTTCCTGTAGGCCTGTGCTCCCGCCCAGCTCCAGCTCTGTGGCTGGTGTGGAAAAACAAATCCCCGTGCTGTGTACCCACCTCCCAGGTTCCACAGAAGACGGGAACAGCATCCTTGCCCACGAGATTCACCTGGACATGACCCATTCTCCCACCTAGCGTCACCAGCTGTGCCCCTCCCCTTCCCCAGCTCACCTCCCTGGTGTTGTGGAGGCACTTGGCCTCGATGTCATACCGCTCCTCGTCCACCACCTCCACCTTGGCATGCAGCTCCCGACACAGGTCCTGGGGATGTGGGTTATGGGGTGTGAGAGGAGGAGAGGGAAGCGGCTGCAGGCTCCAGCCCCGCTTTTTTGCCTGCCTGCCCTGCACCCTCTCTCTAGCCTCTCTTTGAGACCAGAATCTGCTGGCTCCCTCTGAGGGTGACGGCCCAAAGCATAAGCATTTTGCTCTCCTTTCTGTATAGACTTGTTTTATTACAAAGATACAGTTTGCACATGACAAAAGTAATATAAGTGTAGGAATTTTGAACACTATGTATTAAACAAAAAATAACAAGTAAAAAGAACTAGTAGGGGCTGCTGAGATGGCTCAGTGGTCTAAAGCACCTATTTAGAACAAGCTTAGTGGAGCACAGGGACCGTGGTTCAATCCCCCAGCACCACATGCCAGCCAGCCCCGCCCCCTGGGGCTGAGCTGGACACACACACACACACATACACACACACACACATAAATAAATAAAAATAAAATTAAAAAAAAGAAAAAGAAAAAGAACTAGTAAATGCACTACCTGGAAAAAAAAAATTGATGACATTTTGGAGTGGGTGTGTGGGTGTGTGTGTCTTAATTTTATTTTTAAAAAGAGTACAAATTAGAATTAAAACAGAAAAAATTACAAGTGATATAGAATTTCACTTAAAGTAATATGAATTTCATTGTATTCATTGTAATACATAGTGTTGTCTTCCAACTAATTATTCATATTACCATATATATGCATGTAAAATTGGAAGAAGAAAGAAAAAAGGAAAGAAGTGTGTGAGAAATTAAGAGAAAAAGTACAATCAATTGAAAAAAGGAGACAAAACAAATGAAGTATTATCTGCTCCTTTCCACAGACCAGCAGAAATGCACAGTACAGTTGTCTAAACCATCCTGCTTATATACATAGATATAGCTCTTTCCCCCACTCTCTCTCCTGTCCTTCTCCTCAACTCAGTAACTCCTTCCCTTTGAGTAAGTTCATTCCCTTCCCAGTATCTATTGTATCCTTCAGATTCCATTTTTTTCTTTCAGGTTCTCACACTAAAGAGCTAATACGATGTTTGCACACACAGGTCTGGATTGATGACATTCTGATAGGTATCCTTGCAGTCCCTTGTCTCCTCAATTGCTGGCATTTAAACAATTACCAATTTTTTTAAAACATCAAAGGCCTACCACTAGGGGAAGAAGAGCCAAGTCTTTGGCAGAACGGGGCTTCCTGAGCTGGGCCAACTCCTGCTCCATGCCACCCCACTAGCTATTGTAAAACCTGGTGGCTGGCTAGGTCTTTGCACCAGAAAGTCCCTTCTCCCCTCTGGAGCTCACTGCCCCCACCTGTAAAATGAGCTCTAACTTCCTCAATCTGGGGTGGTTAGGAAAATAACATGAAGCCACATGGAGAAGGGCACCTGTGGGTTACAGAGCTGCTGAGCCCTAGTCAGTTGCATCTCCTGGGCCCAGGGCCCCCCTCATGTGGAGCCCCCAGCCCACCCACCTGCCAGGCTCACCTGGAGGGCACTGAGTGACAGTCCACGGGTCTGCAGTGTGGGGATGCGCTCAGCCAGGTAGCGCCTCTTCTCGGCCTCACGTTCCTCATGCTCCTGTTCCCAACACTCCTTGGCCTTGGCTAGCATCAGGCTCTGGACAGGACAACCCAGTGAGTCGGGGCTAGCCCTTGTGTTTCCCGCCCAGCATCAGGGACAGAGGGGACGGTGGACATGCAAACCCAGCTCTGAGAGCCTGTGTCCCTATGAAAGTGTGTGGTGACTGCCAGCAGACCTTGTGCAAACACTAATCAACCACCACACATGACACTCCTGGGCCCTGGCTTGCTCCCCCTCCCCACATACAGTCCTACTCTTACATACTTGTGTGAGTTTGGCCCCACACAGCACTAAGAGAGAAACAAGTTCAAAAACAAATCACATCCCTCTGCCTCCACTGCAGAGTCCCACACTGGAGCTGGTCATGGCCTCCTCATGGGACCCAGGAGGGTGCCAGGGCCCCTATTCCTAGGGCTCAGCCCTGCCCATCTGCATCTTGCTCCAGCAAAGCCAGCTGCTTCTGCCTCCCATCATCCGGGCTGGGCTCCTTTCTCTCTTCATCCCACACCACCCACAGCTTACTGCCCACATAGCTGCCCCCACTGATGCCCAGACCAACATCCCGCCTCACCTTCAGCATGAGCTTTCGAGAAGCTGTGATCTTCGATTTTCTCTGGGAGTGAGAAGGGAGAGAGAAAGGCGATGAGGTAGAGGTCGTGACGCTGGAATCCTGCTCCAAGTCAAGTCTCCGCAGGGTTCACCATTACTACCCAGAATCCTCTACTCACTTGAGCGTCCCTTTCAAGCTCATCTGTGTGTTTAACTCCTCAAATTCAGAGGACACTGCAGCCCAAGACCTTGGCATAGGGGCTGAGGCCCTGCCTTGCCATGCCTTGCCTACTCTTAGCAGAATTCTGTGAGAGACTGGGCAGAGCAAGTGACGCCTCCTTGTCTATAAATGTGGATGCCAAGATCCACCTAACTTAGTTCACAGAGCTGCTACAAACAAAATGAGAGTGCAAACATGAAAATATTTTGAAAAGCTAAAAGAGAAACACATTTTAGCACTCTGGAAAGTAAATAACAGCAATATCTTGCAGCTGTCTTATGCCGGAAGCAGAAACTGTGAATCACCTAAATAGATGAAAGATACTCATACAGACACCAAAATGTTTAACTATTAACACTGTCTATGTAAAATTTCCTAATATGTAAAAAGATTGTTTTTTATCAAAAGACCAAATAGTCTTGCCAACTTAATCTGTAATAATAGGTCTTAATAAGCCCCAACCCCTGGCTGAGCATAGTGGAGCACACCTGTAATCCAACTACTCAGGCAGCTGAGAAAGAAGGGTGTTGAGTGTGAGGCCAGCCCAGGTAACTTAGCTAGACCCTTCTCAAAATGAAAAATGAAAGCAGGTGCAGGAACTGGGAGTCTGATCCCCAGGCCTGCCATGCTGGCCCTGCCCCTGGGGCATGCTGAGACTGCAATTGAGACTAGGCATGGTGGTGAATGTCTATAATCCCAGCTCTTGGGAGGCTGTAAACAGGCAGATCACTGTGAGTCTGATCTAGTAGTGAGACCCTGAACACCTTGTAGACCCTTCCCTAAAATACAAAAAAAGAAAAAAAAGAAAGAAAGACCTGGGTCCAACCTCCAGTACCGCACCAAAAAAAGAAAGAAGAGAGGGAGGGAGGGAGAGAAAAAGGAAGTGAGGGAGGAAGAGGAAGAAAAAGAGAAAAAGTTTCAGCCCTGTGGAAGTGGTCCTACAGGAGCAGTTGTAGTGAGAGGGCTGCCTCTACCCACCCCAACTAATAAGACTGTGAGGCAATGAGACTTATGTCTCCTCTGGACTGTAGGCTGCCTCCTTATGCTACCAGTGGGCTCTCTACCCACTTCTAAGGTGCTGGATGCTGGGGAGAGGACAGCTCAAATTCATGACTGTGGTGTGGAGAATAGGAATTATTGAGCTTCAGGTGAGCAGTTTGGGAGAAAAGTAATGAGCTTTAGCCCGTGGAATGCTCAGCCTCCGATCCAGCTATTCAGAGCGGCTATCATTTCCTCTCCAGTGCCTACATCATTGCTACACTTCTGACCCCCGTGACCTTGAGAGCAGTGGCCTCGTGCTCCAGCCATTGCTGCCCATGGCTCACACCCTATCATGCACCTGTGGAAGGTTCTATTGCAGTCCTCTGTCCCCACACACGGTGAGCATAGGGCCATACCACTTGGCTATCCATCAATGGAGAACTGCAGTAAAACCTAGAAACTCTCATGGCTGTTGAAAAACAGCATGCTTGATTCTCATTGTCAAGGCTATGGCAAGTGTCACCCCTTGGTCAGTGACACAAAGTCACACCCTTGCTGTCACAGAGTCCACAGCCTTTCCCCACATGTTCTATCACTGGAGACACATAGGCTGTGTCCTTGGCAGCCTGAATAAAGCTGGATTATGGGTGACATCTAAAGTGAAGGTCACCAAAGACTTGAAAGGATATGAGGGCACAGCTTTCTTCTTTCCTCAGTGTTCCAGCACTGGGCCAGAATGGAATAACTTTTATCATAAAATGTGGTTTTGTACAGGACCACCTCTCAAGGGACAGAACGGACCTGCCAGGAAAGGAAGAGCTTTCAGAGTGACTGAAGGGGAACTTGTGCTCAGGGAGGGTATAAAGTCACACCAAGACCTGCTGCATGCAGTCCCAGCCCCAGGAGCACCACTAGTGACATTAGGAACTGGGCAGCAACTCCCAGGATCCTAGGAAACCCCACACCCAAAATCTTGCTCAAGGTGTCTGTTCTCTTGGAAATTTTTCCAAGCTACTGGATACCACCAGCACCAGCACCACCACCACCACCTTGGCCTCGCCCCATGTTCTACTATCCTGAGATGCCCAGCCCACCTTCACCCATCTCGAGAATTAATCAGCACACAGGTGCCCAAAGTATCACTCACCTCGCTTCAAGCATCCAGCACAGGAAGGATGGAGGAGAGACCAGAACACAGAGTAAGGACAAAGTACATCATATATGTAGCAGCAGAACCATGGCGACCAGCTAGGGGGATGAAGTGGCAGTGACAACAATGGGCCAAAAGAAACCAGGCACTAAGCAGGGAGTTGAGGCTGAGAGTTGCAGCAGAATGGGATGAAAACCCAACAACCTTGGTCACTGGAAGTTGGAGACAGTTGGTGGGAAGTCAGGGGAGCCCTGACAGAGGGCTGCACCCATGAGGGTGCTTCCCTGCCCGGGCTTTGGCTAAATCCCCAAAGCCTTGCCCATCTGTTGGTCAGTGTGAAGCCACGACCTGGCACATTCATTAGCTCATTGCAGACAGGCAAACTCTAAAGCATAGGCCACAAAGGTCCTCCCACTGCTATCTGTCCAAAGGCTTGCAGGACACCTGGCCCCCCGGGGAACTGCTCAGCACTGATGCAGGCACCCAGGAGTTGAGCAAAAGATCCTCAATTGTGGGGCTAAAATGTGCAGCAAAATGACTTGTCCCTGGAAACCCAGACAGGAATAAGATGACTTACACTTCTGGCATGGTGGAGGTGGCGCTGCACCTGAGGGAACACGGGAATCGTTAATGAGAGAAGCTTGCAACTCATGCTCCCACCCAGCCAGGACTTGGAGGTCACATGCAGGAAGAAGGCCTCCAAATACAATACGGTTGGATATAAGCTCACTTTCTCAATGGCTTTTAGGTTGCTGAAGAGTAGTGTGTACCTCTTAAGAGACTCAGATATTTCATTGTCCAGTTGTTTTTTTTTAATCTCTTTTTTACTCTTTTTTAAAAAAATTATTTATTTTATTTATGTGTGTGTGTGTGTGTGTGTGTGTGTGTGTGGTCAGCTCAGCCCACCAGGGGGCGGGACTGGCTGGCATGTGGTGCTGGGGGATTGAACCGCAGACCCTGTGCTTTGCTAAGCTTGTTCTAAGTAGGTGCTTTAGACCACTGAGCCATCTCACCAACCTATCCAATTGGTTTTTAAGAACTCTGTGCTTCCAGTACACAGTGAATGCTTCTGTAGTGTTTTAGAGGAAAGGGGAGCTGAGAAATGAAGAATGGGGAAGAGCTGCTTGGAAGATCAACGTTCATATCCCTTATTCGTGTTCTGTATTTGCACTAGAAATTTTACAAAATAATTCAGAAGTCTTTTGTCTGATTCTTAAAGAACTTGGTTTTAAATTTTTATTATAATTTATGACATTCCTCAACATTTGGTATTATGAATTTATAAAAGAACTAATTGCAATATATGTATGAGAAATCTATTTTAATACTGCTAAAGTAAGATATATAAAGTAAAGCCATATTAATATGATGAGCTGTAAATGGCTCAAGTCAATAACTTCTGAGGATAACCCACTACTATTACAGACTGCTGGACGGTGTTGGATTGTTTTGCTCAATTCAAGCACCTATAGTATTTAGATGCCAATAGAATACCCACTTTTGACAGGACTAAAAAAAGGGGATACAAAGGAAAGAACATTTTGTATTTGTATACACAAAATAGGATAGATATACAGCTACTTTCGTTTAATTCAGTGAGAAGAAGGAGGTGTACTAATAGTGTTTGGACAGGGTATCCTGTCTGCATCTTGTACTATGGATAACCACTTAGAAGATAACAATGTACAATGTGTTGATTATTGAAACTGTCCTATTAATCAGCTTTGAAACTGTCTCATTCATATTTATTTCTCAATAAAATAAAGTAAAAATAAAAAATACTGCTAAAGTAGGTATACATTGATATAGATATAGATATATATAGATATATAGATATATAGATATATAGATATATAGATATATAGATATATAGATATATTTAAACTGGGAGTCAAACTCAGGACCTTGTACTTGCCAGGCAGGCGCTGTGTCATGACCTATCTCCCCAGCCTGAAAGGTTTGGTTTTTTTTTTGTTTTTGTTTTTGGTTTTTTGTTTTTTTTTTTTTTTTTTTTTATGCGTTTGGTGCAGGGCCTCACTACCCAGCTCAGACTCATCGTGATCCTCCTGTTTTCAGCCTCCCTAGTGCTGGGATCACAGGTGTGTGCCACTATGCCCAACTCGGTGGCCATTTCAACACACCGGGGCTGGGCCAGTGCAGCATGTGGTGCTAGGGGTAGAACCCTGGTCCCTGCACTTGCCTAAGCAGGCACTTGCTCTGCTGAGCTATCTTGCCGGCCCCATGAAAGAATCTTTTTTAAAAAGTTTAATAGCATACACCTGTAATCTCACTGGTTCAGGAGGCTAAGAAAAGAGAATTGCAAGTTCAAGACCTGCCCTGAACAAGTTCAAAGCTACTTCATGAGACCCTATCTCAAAATAAGCATTTTTTAATAAAGGGCTAAGGGCAAAGGCCTTGTACCAACCACAAGTACTGAGAAAGAAAATAATTAATTAAAGAATTTTTTAAAATCAAATATAATGAATTCCACCAAGGCAAGGAGCAGCAAACCACAGTGTCCAGGCCAAATTGCCCCAAATCTGATTTTGCTTAAATGGTGATAAAACAAGGAAAAATCTTTTAACAAAAACCTTAAGTGATCTGCAGAGCCTAAAGTATTTCTACATGGCCCTTTCCAGGGAAAGCTTGCCAACCTCTGTGGAGTACAGAAGAGAACCCATAGTAGTCATGGCTGGAAAGCAAAGTGGGGCTCCAGGACCACACTGAAACTGGGCTGGACTCAAGGGGAGGCTGGAAAGCAACTGCAGCAGCAGGAGCTGGTCAGCTACATCAGGGCCCAACACCAGGGGGCACCATTCAGTAGGTGCAGGGGGCCTAAAAGCCTTGGTAGGGGAGTGGGAGGTCCTGAAGGGAAGAGGTGAACCTCCAGCCAGCCAGGATGGACCCTGTGCTTGACTTCAGTCTTTCCTTACCCTCTCTGGGCCAGTTTTCCTCCCTGTAAAATGAAGGACTGGTAAGTGGTTTCCCATTCAACATGAGCCCTTGAGTCCTTCATTCAAACCACATCTTACTTGAAAGCCAAACAAGTTCAGTCCTTAAGGCAGAATGGCACTGCCTCTGGCTGCCACAAAAGCCTCAGGGTCTGCGAGTATGTGTGACTGAGGAGCAGAGACTGCAGCCTCCTGTGCAGAGGACATCCTCCAGGACTAGGCTCACAGGCCATCCTGCCTGGCCCAGGGGAGGTAAAGGAAGGGATTGTGCCACAGCTCAGGGGAAGGGGGCTGCTGGGGTTGGGAACAGGTTGTGAGGTAAGACAGGAAGCCTTGCGAGGTCATGAAGTAAGGGTGTGGGAAGCCATGTGTATTGAGGAGGGAGCTCAAGGTCCTCAGGACTCAGTTCAATCAAGAACCTGGTTCAGATCAGGGAGAGAAGCCAAAGGACACTTGCAAAGTGCCTACCAGGAATTTCATTCCAGAGCCCCTCTCCCTCTGCCCTGGTCTCTCCTTTCCTTTCCTGCCGTGAAGCATCCTCCAAGGCCCAGTGACAGGGCTTTCTGCTTTTGGTCACCTCCCCTGGATCTCTCTGGAGTCAGACACCCTTCTTTACCCCACCTCTATTCTGTCTGCCCCAGAGGAGAGTGAGGCTGAGGTAGAGGAGGTGGGGGGAGTGTGACCCTAGAGTCCCAGCTGTCTCCCTGGGGCACAAGGGAGAGGTGTGGAGACGATCTATAAATTCCAGAAATGCTTGGCTGAAATTAGATTTTATAGGCAGCTGCCTATTCTAAGTTCCACTCCTCCAAAGACACCAAGTCTGTCTGTCCCCTGGGAGTGCCAGTCTCCAGGCAGAGCCAGGTCTCAACTGAGAAGGTCCTGCATCTGTCTTCCCCAGGATGGGCCTCACTTTTGATGAATGTTCAGCCCCAGTGACTCTCCCGTCCCTCAGAGGGCTCCTTTTGTCTCCAGCATGGGGCCTCCTGCCAAGCCCCAGGGCCCGCCCTGCTGACAAATGCCAGGCCCAGGGGTCTCACTTCAGGCATGAGGCCTGGCTTGGACTCTGACACCCGCCAGACAGGACCCCTTGACAGGCTTAGGGGAAGATAAGTAGGGGCCTGATAAGAAGTCAGGATGCAGATAGCAACAAATGCAAGGCTCAGGAGTGCTGGATTCCATCTCCTCAGCAAGGGAAAGGCAAGGAGATAATTAGAAAGTCCATGATTGGATGCCAGAGAAGAGAGTCCATGTTGCCTGCCCTAGGCTTGGTTCTCTGTGCCCTGGCCCTCTAGGGGGAAAGCCGGTCAACTAGAGGTGAAATGAAGGCTGTATGTGTGCGCAGGTAAGTATAGGGGTGTGTGTGCATGCACGCGTGCATGTGTGTGTGTGTATAACAAAAAAAAGAGAAGCCACAAATATCTAGTTAGACTCATGCTGTACCCCTGCTCTCTATCCCTCATCCTTGAACCCCAGTTCAAGGGTATCGTACTTCTTGGCTGGCTGCTAACAAGGCTGGACCCCAAGCCTGTGGCCAGCGCCTGTCACCTCACCCCACCCCACCCCCTGCCCTTTGAGCTTCTAATAGGAGAGCCTTGACCTCAGAAGTGCTTTGGGCCTGTTACCCCAGGCCTGGGCCAGGTGCTGCCTTTAGTCTTTAGTTCTCTCCCCAGAGACCATGGGACCACACTAGACATTACGTGGTCTTGAGCTTTGTGCCCTCTCAGTGCTGTTAACAACTGCTACCCCAAGAAGAACCTCAACAGTTCAGAGCTTCATTGGGAAAGCAGGGCTGGTAGTAAACCCTCACCTGCTCATGTTTTCCTGAACAGATGGGGTGTACAAAGGAAGCCAAGAGCACCCCTCCAAGGCAAAGAACAAAGAAGCAAGAGGGAGCCCTCGGGCGGCAGGGGCTCTGGTCTGGATTCCTAAGCTCCACTTGCATGAGTTCTTTCTCCCTCCTGCTGTTGCTTACCAGGCTCATCTCAAACTGCATGCTCTCTGAGCTTCAGTGTCACCCTCTCCCAGGTGCCCTCTTCCTTCTGCAACCCACTAGGCAGTGCCTCGTGAGAACAAAATACACTAGGCCCTGCCTCGGGCTCTAGAGAGGCTGCTGGACATCCTGTGCTGGGAAAGGTTAGCCCCCTCAGCTGCCTCTTGGGAGAGATGCCACCACACAGAACAAAAGACTGGGAGTGTCAGGGGACTGCTCACCCAGCAAACACACTTGTACAGGCAGGAAATAGCTTCCATTTCCAAAACCTCGCTTCCTCCTCCAACCAAACCCCAACTTCTCTGCCCGGCCTCAACCCAGGTCTGCAGTCCTGGGCTGCAGAGACTTACCTTGTTTAGTCCTGAGTGCTGGGCTGGCCTGAGCCTCCCTGCAGACTGCACACTGAGGGGGCAGAGCCGGGGGCAGGCTATGAAAACTGCGCCCAGAGGCAACTGGCCAGTAAAAATAGAACAGCCCACTGCCCCTCCCCCACCACACACACCTCAGGGGCACACACACTGGGATGCTCACACGCAACAGGTGCTCGGGCTGGAAGACCAGTGTGTGTGCACACACACCTGCTGTGCACACAGAGAACACCCAGTGAGTTAAACCAGCACCCACAGGGAGGGAGAGAGAAGGAGCCAGACTAGATATGGGGGCTGGACAGAAGCGGGAGAGGGTACTGAAGGAAAGCAGGGGACACTGGAAGACCCAGAGAAGCCAGCAGGGAGCCACCAAGATGACCCTGCCTCTCCTGCAAGGAAATTCAGAAATCAAGTCCCAGCCCACGTTCCCCAAAGCCCCAGAGAGCCAAAGATTTGGCTGTGGAGAATTGTTGAGTGTCTGGTGCATAGGGTGTAGGTGTAGGAGGGTGCCTGGAAGGTTCTGGGCTTCTGGGGGTGTTCATGGGCCAAGCTGGGCAGCCATGGCACAGGGTCACCTTTACACTTGCAGAAGCCTAAGGGTTCACACCCCCTCCAGGCATGGTTCCAGGGTGTAGTTTCCCAGGTTCTGTCCACGCCTAGATCTCAGTAAGACCAACTCACCTCTCCCCACCTAATCATCAGCCAGCCAGCAGCAGGAGGCTGGGGGGCCACAGGGACTGCACCTGTTTGCTGGTTATTTTTAGGACTGTTGATGAACACATAATACCCATCCTATAGTCAGAGAAAGACAATGCCTGCTATGTTAATCCTGTGGCTATTATAGTCGGTCATCTCATGAGCCAGAACCCCAGGCTGGAGCAGGGCAGGCAGGACACTGACCCCTCTTGGAGGCTACAGAGAGGCCTATCAAGCAGCAGAAGAAAAGGGGGCTCTCACCATGCTCCTCATTTGGGGAGAGAAAGAGTCAGTGGGCAGGAGTGTCCACCCCTACTCCCTCAGGGCCCACAGAAGTGTAGAGGCTCCACCCTGTGGACACTGACATTCTGCTGCCTACCAGAGGTGGTTTTGATCCTGTTCTAGGCAGGAAGCTCCATGCTGGGAGACTTCCAGGGAGCAAGGACAAGGTCTGGGAAGGTATGGGGTGGAGACAGAGGATTCCAAGCTGAGGGGCTGGGTGAAAAATGCACTCCATGAGTGGCTAGGAAGGAGGTTAGAGGAGAATCTAGGGATTGGTGAGAGGAGGTTGCCAGAGTTTATTGCTTCTTAACATTGTGTGTGTGTGTGTGTGTGTGTGTGTGTGTGTGTGTGTGTACTGGAGATTGAACCCAGGGAACACTGAACTGTATTTTTTTATCCCTCTTTCTTTCTTCTAAGATGAAGTTTTCCAACCTCACTAGGTTGCCCAGTCTTGTCCCAGACCTAGGATCATCCTGCCTCAGCCTCTTGAGTAGGTAGGATTATAGGCATGCACCACTATGCCTGGTGCCTTGTCTTTTTGTGTTTATAATTTATATAATATCTTTCTTTCTTTCTTTCTTTCTTTCTTTCCTTTTTTTAGACAGGCTCTCACTATGCAGTTCAGGCTGGGTTTGAGCTCACTTTGTAGCCAGATTGGTCTCAAACTCTCAAACTCTCAATGATCCTCCTGCCTCAGCCTTCTGAGTGCTGGAATTGTAGGCATGTGCCACCACACCTGTCTTAAAGGAATCATGGGGGCAGTTTCCTTGGTACTGGGAATTGAATTCATGACCTCACACTTTCCAGGCAGGTGCAATGCCACTGAGCTAAATCCCTGTCCCTTATAATCAGTTTCTTATAAACTGTAATTTATGCCAAAAATCAGTTGTCTACAATGAATCATCCTGCTTTTTGAAAAGGAAAAATAAAGCCTCAAGAAGTAGAAGCCCAAAGGAGGATCAAGCCAAACCTAAAAAGTAGGTGACCAGGTGTCTTCAGCAAGATGTGGTTTACACAGCCCACCAAGGGGACCTCCTTTCTGGAGCAACCACAAGGTCATGGGCTCCACAGATCTTGGGGAGCATTATTCATCCTCTGACTGTTAGACAGGAGGGGGCCTGTGTCCCTCATCCTAGGTACAGGGTCCTGAGTCCATTCCCACCCTCCAGCCCTGTACCCCGTGTGGCATCCAGCTGTCTACTCTCAGCTCCACCCTTACCTCAGACACTAACTAGTTCAGGCATGGAGGGAAGTGATGGCTTCCTCCTCCAGCACACCAGCTCCTCTAGGAAGCTCTGCTGTCTGCTCACAGATGACTTTCAAAACCAAGACTTGCCAGGTGTGGTGGTGCACACTCTAACCCAGTGCTCTTAAGGCCAAGGCAAAAGGATAACAAGCTTAAGCCCAGCCCTAGTGATTTAGACACACACACACACACACACACACACACACACACACACTGTTATACCCAGTTGTCAGTGCACCTGCCCCAGTCTTCCTTCATCTATGCAGCAGGTGTAGAAAACCCCAGAGCCCACCACGGGCCCAGTGACCTGTGGCAGGAGGTGTTCCCACCCCAACAAAGCCTCCAAGGGATGATTCTGTCCTTCCCTACATGCTGTCCTGACCAAGTGTGTTCTGCAGCCTTTTTCCTGCCCTCCTTAGCTACAGAGGTCACCTCCTCTCAGCACACCACTTCCCACTCTACCTACAGAGCAGGGACAGCTGTCCTGGAGCCTTGGGGCTGTGTGTAGCCCAGGAGCCATGGAGGGCAGTCCCCGCACAAGAAGTCAAGTTATGGCTCAGGCAGAGTTCTCACAGAGCACCTTATGGCCAGTTGAACAATGCTTCCCCCAGAGACACTCATGTCTGTGTGGAAATGCAAATGTGTCACCTTATATGACAAAGGAATGAAGCAGATGTGCTTCATAGAGAGGCTGAGATTGAGATTATTCTGCAGTATCTAAATGGGCCTGACCTAATCTTGAGGACCTTCATCAAACCAAGGATGAAGATGATGGTTAGAGATGATGTGACAAAGGAAACAGGGGAAAGAAGAAAAGGTGAGATGCTGTGTGCCTTCAAGATGGAAGAAGGGGCCGTGAGCCCTGGAACACAGCCTTTCTCTAGATGCTAAAAAGGCAAGGTATGGCCCCTCTCCTGGTGTTTTGAGGCAAGCAGGCTCCATTAACAACTTTCAGTTCCTTGAGACTGCTTTTGGACTTTATAACCTCACAAGTGGAAGATAATAAACTTACGTTGTGTTGAATCACTGAAGAATGATGGTATTGATTTGTTATAGCAGCAATAAGAAACTAATACACGTGCCTTATTGGATCCTGGATGTCATAGTTCAGATGTGCTGAGGACCAGCAGGCCATAGGCGGACTTGGAGGGTCAGTGAGAACCAGCCCAGTTCAAGGCAACCCTAGGGCACAGCCTCACACCTCCAGGGCTGGAATCCAGGCTCCTGGGGGCTGGGCCTTCCGAAACTCCAGCTCTGAGAGTGCTGAGAGCATCCTGGGATGTTAGAGGAGGAAAATCCAGTCCACCCAGCGTGCCAGAAGGAAATGAGGGCCAAGAGAAGAGGCAACTGAAGAGGGGCTCAGGTCTCCTACCTGGCAGCCCAGTGCTTCTGTCCCACACTGTCCTGCAAGCAGACACTTTGCTCAGCCTCTAATTCCCCTGCCATCCTTCCCTTTAATTCTGATATAGCTGGATGTGGTGGTGCTTACTTGTAATCCCAGAACTTGGGAGGCTGAGGCAGGAGGATCGCCATGAGTTCAAGGCCAGCCTCAGCTTCGTACAGAGTTCAAGGGTACCCGGAACTACATAGTGAGGCCCTGTTAAAAAAAAAAAAAAACCTTTCCAAAATTAATCCTAATATGACTCTGTCCCTGCCTTTACTCTGACAGACTCCAGAACCTATAGATGGCCTTTGCGCAAATTGGAAGACAGCGCCCTCTCCTGGTGCAGGCTGCCTGGCTGGTCCAGGGCTTCTCCAGCTGTGTGCTGTTCCAGGCCCTGCTCCCACTTGAGGTGAACCATGTGCTCAGCAGCACCCACCAAACTGCTACCACAGCGGTGGCGGACCTTTTAGTGACCGAGTGCCCCAACTGCAATCCAGAATTCACTTATTTACCTCAAAGTGCCTACACTGCAACTAAACCTGAACCCTGAGGTTTTAGTTTAGAAAAGACAATTCACACCCTTGGCTCGCGCGCCAACAGAGAGGGCCCTGCATGCCCCCTTCTGCATGCGTGCCATAGGCTCGCCCCCACTGTCCTAGCACCTTCTGTGACCCGCTCCGTTTTTCATTTGGTTTCCTGAGCTGGCCACCTGCCCTCTTTTAATCCATACAACATTCACACACCAGGAAAATGCTGAAACTGGTTTTATTCCCACGCCTCTCACAGCTTCATCTACAAGCCCTGCTCTGCAGAATCTGTGACCCTTCTGAACTCTGATCCAAACTCGGGTTCATAGCAAAAATGGCCCAACTTTTTGAACCCTGAATTCCTCATTTATAAAGTGGGTTAAGTGAGCCCAGTGACCCTGGGATGAGCTTGTCTTCCAAGGGGTGCCCCCTCCCCTCCTGGAGGCCCCCTCCTTCACACAACATGGTTGGCTTTTCCTTACACTATCTTTCTCTTTTTTTGGGGGGGGGTGGCAGAACCAAGGATTGAACTCGGGCCCTTGCACTTGCCAGGCAAGCACTTATCCTACTGCGCTATCTCTCCGGCCCCCTCCTCACATTCTCTTAAAAGTCTAGGGAGAAGCCAGGCATGGTGGTGAATGCCTATAATCCTAGCATTGAGGAGGCCGAGGCAAGAGGACTGCTGTGATTTCAAGGCCAATGTGGGCTATGTAATGAGTTCAAGGCCAGCCTGAATTGTATAGTGAGGCTCTGTCTCAAAAAACAGAGAAGGGGATCTGGGAGATGGCTCAGTGGAATAAGCGCTTCCCTGGCAAGTGCAAGGGTCTGAGTTCAATTCCCGGTTCCACCAAAAAATAAAAATAAAAATAAAAAAACAGAAAGAAGAGTCAGCCAGATATCTCAGTGGACTAAAGTGCCTGCTTAGGCAGAGCGCAGTGGCC